ATTTTCATAATTAAAAATTGTCATATACAATAAATAAATATTCTCAAGGAAATAGTTGTGAATTTGATTGTTTATTTACATTATGATCAACCAGTGCGCCTGACAGCATTAAATAGCTTAAATGCCAAAACATATTTATATCCCCTTTCAATCTAGATCAATTCAATAATACCAGTTGTTAATTAACGATTGTAAATTGTAAGAGTGTAAGATTGTTAACTAGTTGTAAATTGATTATTATTATTACTAGATGTTTATCATCATGGTTCTTAATGATAAGTACAATATTCTACACAATGAAATCATCAATTAAGACATCATCTTAAACATCATTTAGGTTACAACCCTTTTCTCGTTTATGCGTCTACATTACAAATAGTGTTTTTACATTTTTAATTCTCCTTGATCATTTTCATCCCGCCATTTATTGGTAGTAAACTGATCATAATAACGATTTTGTTCAAACTGGCTCATAGTGCCACACCGACCGGTAAAGTATTCGCGGTTATAAATTATTAAATTATTGGGCAGTGATTGCAATTGTGGCCAAATTATTTCAGCTTTCGACAAATGGTCTGACTCTTGACCCAATTGGGAACTTTGCCCTTCAGTCCGTTGCCAACAGTAACCAAATACAAACAGTCTGTGCGGCCATCGGTTGACCCGACTCTTAAGGGCATCAAATGTGGTGTCGGTAACAGTTGTCCCGCATTTCAGTGTTAATACCCGTAGATCTGGACAGTTGTCTATGAGATCACAGATCCCGGTGTCCGATATGTCTGTCATATCATAAGGCGTTGAATATATTTCTACCACTTTTATGACTTTTAGTTTGGATAAGGAATTCAACGCTTTGTTTGATAACTTTTGTTGTGTTTTCAATACTAAACGATTGAGTTGTGGACAATATTCGTGAATGTCTTGTAGGCAATTATTATTCAAATTTTTGTATACAATCTTCATTGAAGTCAATTGTTTCATTGCCTTCAGTGACTCTAATGATCCCAAGTCTATGGGTTCGGGAAGTGTTGCCAACTCATCGTTTTCACAAATTACACATTTGGGCAAAAACCTGTTGAAAATAATTTAAGACTTTACTAATAAGACAAATTCATATAGTATTTTTAAAAATGTTTTATATTGAATAATAATAACCTATTAAAAATGACCAATTTATAAACAATATAACATACCTAAAACATTCTGAGACTTGTAAATGGGATCTAATTTTTACATCCAGAGTAACCAAATTACTTAGCGATTCAATGTTTAACAATACTGGTTGTGATGCCATTTGGATGTGATTCATGAGCTCGAGTGACAGCGATGTTAATTGGGGACAGTTTTTGGCCCACAATTCTGTGCCGTAATTTAAATTCACGGCAAAGTTTTTATTTGATTCAAATATTAGTTTCAATGTTTTTAGTTTATGAAAACATGAGATCATTTTAAATATTGTATTGAATTCCTTAAATTTTTTGCTAAATTTTAACGTTAATTGCAATGAAGTTATTGTTTGACAATAATTATCAGTGAATTGTTTGAACAGATTTAAACACTTTTGGGAATCAATACCTAAACTAATATTTTGTAAATTCTCATAGAATTGCCTGTAGTTTATAAGGTGTGACAAAACCATATCTAGAAAATAAACATACATGTATATTTATTTAATATTTAATAATGCAAAATGACAATATTCATCATGTTTAAAAATAATAAAATAAATTTACCAGCTCTAAACGAGCGGACTGTAATACTATTGATAGTTTTGCTACAATTATTAACAAATAGGGGCCAAATTATTTGTGGCGAACCGTCGAAACGGAAATCAATTTCACATAAATTATGACAATTTTGTGCTATTAATGACAATATTGTTTGGTCACAAACGGGCCATACCTTCAGTGATCGCACAAAATGACATTTTCTCAATAAGACAGTCGATATGTCCAACTTTTTTCTCATTGATAAATAACAATAACGGTTATCATACGTCCAAATGGGATACGAAAACTCGTGGACACTATTATATATCAATCGGTGCCACTGTTTGGACACACACTCCAGAGACACCCTATCCTCTAACG